AGTGGACTTCGAAAGACCGACGTGTGGCGCACGGATGACGGACGCCCGGTGTGCTTCCACTGCGGGGAGGCTGACCACGTTTACCGGAGGTGCCCCTACCGCCAGCTCGGCCTGCGAGGATTCGCTCCAAACGACCGTCGACCTCGTTTTGGAGAACGACCAAGGGACATCGAGGAATACCTCCGTCGCCCTCCGTCTCCAGCGCCCACCGCACCACGAGGTTCCCGTTCTCCATCCCCCCGACGTTCCGCGTCGCCTTTCCGTTGGTCGCGCCGTGACAGCCTGTCCCCCCTGTCTCGTCGGGAAAACTAAGTGCGGCGACGCCTGGAGGTGCCGTTGCCGAAGACGACCCGAGTAAAGAGCCTCCAAGAACGCCGGAGCGCTCACACACTCCCGACGCCACGCATCGCTACGACGCGCCTGCAACGGTGTCCAACAACCTAAACGTCGTCATCGACGGCCACGACGCATCGGCACTCGTGGACACCGGAGCAGACTACTGAGTCTTGAGTGGGAGGCTCTCCCGCCGCCTTCGAAAAGTCATGACGCCGTGGGAAGGACCCCAAATACGAACCGCCTGAGGACATCTCATCACACCAGTCGGGAGATGCACTGCTCGCGTCGAGATCCACGGTGAAACGTGCCTTGTCAAGTTCGTCGTTCTGCAAGACTGTTCGAGGGACGTTATCCTCGGAATGGACTTTCTCTGCGAGTATGGCGCCGTCATCGACCTCGGAACAAACCGGCTGACGCTACGAAAACCTGCTCCACCAGCGGAGGAACCCCAAGCGACGTCACCCACGGTCCGAGTCCTCGCAAACCACGTAAACCTACCACCGCGGTCGAGTGTTTTCGTACTTGTCGGAATCGATGAAGCTTCCTGTGGCGAAGGTCTTCTCGAGGGAAGCCTCCAATTGCTCCTGGGAAGAGGCATAGGCGTCGCAAGGGGAGTAGCTGAACTTCAGGATGGGCGGACTGTGGCCCTCATGACGAACTTCCGAAACGAAACGCAACACCTCACGAAAGGTGCAGCCGTGGGCCACGTCGAGAAACTCCGAAACCCCGCCGAAATCACCGCGATTACTGACGAATCCTCGCCGCCCCAGCAAGACAGTACGTCGCCAGCGCAGCTCGACATTGACCCTAAGCTTCCGGACCCTAAACGGCGTCAGCTGGTTAACCTCGTCGCCGAATACCGCGACTGCTTTGCGACGTCGTCGAAGGTGCGCCAGTCCGCGGTTGCCAAGCACCGCATCGTTACCGAGGACGACGCGCGCCCTGTGCATCGATCGCCGTACAGAGTCTCCGCTAAGGAAAGGGAGGTGATCCATCAGCAAGTTCAAGAGATGCTGAATGACGACACAATTCAACCTTCAAGCAGTCCATGGGCCTCTCCAGTCGTGCTGGTTAAGAAAAAGGACGGAACTCTTTGGTTCTGCGTGGACTACCGGCAGCTCAACACGGTTACGAAGAAAGACGTCTACCCACTCCCCCGCATCGACGACACTCTAGACCGGCTGCGCCACTCTCGATACTTTTCATCGATGGACCTGAAGAGCGGCTCCTGGCAAATCGAGGTCGACGAACGGGATCGAGAGAAGACAGCCTTCGTCACGCCGGATGGACTGTACGAGTTCAAGGTGATGCCCTTTGGACTATGCACGGCGTCAGCAACTTTCCAGCGTGTCATGGACACCGTACTGGCAGGGCTGAAGTGGCAAAGTTGTCTCGTCTACCTTGACGACGTCGCAGTATTTTCAGCTGACTTCGACGAGCACTTGAGACGACTCCGAGCTGTTCTTCAAGCCATTCAGACCGCCGGACTCACACTCAAGCCGTCAAAGTGCCGGTTCGCCTATGACGAACTGAAGTTCCTTGGCCACGTGGTTAGTAACGAAGGCGTCCGCCCAGACCCCGAGAAGACTCGCGCCGTCGCGGCATTTCCAGCGCCGACAGATAAAAAGGCCGTGCAAAGATTCCTTGGACTTTGTGCCTATTATCGACGCTTCGTTCGGGATTTCGCAAGGATTTCCGCACCACTTACGAATCTCACGAAAGACGCCGAGAAGTTTGAATGGGCCGAGGAGCAACAGCAGGCATTCGACGAACTGAAACGACGACTCCAGACTCCTCCTGTGCTTGGAGATTTCGACCAAGATGCGGAAAGAAAAATTCACACGGACGCAAGTAACGTGGGACTGGGCGCAGTACTAGTCCAAGTGCAAGAAGGCATCGAGCGAGTCGTCGCCTACGGAAGTCGGATATTGTCCAAGGCGGAGAAAAATTACTCCACGACTGAGAAAGAATGCCTTGCGGTCATCTGGGCAATAACGAAGTTTCGTCCGTACTTGTACGGGAGCCCGTTCAGTGTAGTCACGGACCACCACTCGCTCTGCTGGCTTGCGAACCTGAAGGACTCGTCAGGACGCCTCGCTCGATGGAGTCTTCGACTACAAGAGTTCAACATGACAGTGGTCTATATGTCAGGCCGCAAGCACAGCGACGCCGACGGCCTGTCCAGAGCCCCCGTCGAAACCCCTTCCGGCTGCAGCGACGACAATGACGACGAGTGCTTCCTAGGAGCAGTGAACACTGACGATATGGCACGACGTCAACGGGACGATCCTGAGCTGCGCGCATTAATCGAGCACCTGGAAGGGGGCAGGAGTACCGTGACACGTGTCTTCTCACGAGTACCGCCGACCTTCGCCATCCTACAAGTTGTATTCTACGAAGAGAACTTCGGCGACAACAACACACCGTGGTTGCTGGTAATCCCGAATGACCTTCGAGAGGAGATCTTCCAAGCCTACCACGACGACCCGACATCCGCACACCTTGGTTACAGCCGGATACTGGCCCGTATTCGTGAAAAGTATTACTGGCCGAAGCTCCCCAAGACCGTCCACCTATACACACGATCATGCCACGAGTGCCAGCGACGCAAGAAACCGCCGACAAGGCCGGCCGGACTTCTACAGCCCATTTCTCCTCCAACTGCACCCTTCCAGCAGATCGGAATGGATCTACTTGGTCCTTTTCCGCCTTCGATGTCGGGGAACCGCTGGATCATCGTCGCCACAGATTATCTCACGCGGTACGCCGAAACGAAAGCTCTTCCTTCAGGGACTGCTGTGGAAGTCGCCAAGTTTTTCATCGAGTCCATGGTCCTCCGGCACGGCGCTCCCGAAGTTCTGATTACAGATCGCGGATCTTCGTTCATGGCCCAGCTGACGCAAGAGATCCTTCGTCTCAGTGGCACCGGCCATCGTCGAACCACTGCATACCACCCGCAGACCAACGGGCTGACCGAGCGACTCAACAAGACAATCGCCGATATGATCTCTATGTACGTCGACGTAGAGCACAGGACGTGGGACGAGGTGTTGCCCTACGTCACGTTTGCCTACAATACGGCTGTTCAGGAGACCACTGGATTCACCCCTTTCCAGCTGGTACATGGTCGGAAGGTAACGACCATGCTGGACGCAATGCTGCCCCATGAACCATCTGACAATGAGGGCGACGACGCCCAGGCGGTTGCTCAACGCGCCGAAGAAGTCCGCCAGCTCGCCCGACTCATGATTCAAGACCAGCAACGCGTCTACGCGGGCCGCTACAACCTTCGTCGCAGGGACGTTCACTTCCAGCCCGGAGACAGGGTGTGGGTGTGGACGCCCATCCGTCGCCGCGGCCTCAGTGAGAAACTGCTGAAACGGTACTTTGGACCATACAAGGTACTTCGTCGCCTCGGCGAGCTGAACTACGAGGTGATGCCCGACGGAACAAGAACATCATCACGCCGCCCACCACGACCTGAAGTCGTCCACGTCGTGCGCCTGAAGCCGTACTACGCTCGATAGGACTGTGGATCTTATGTGTTTCAAGTGACTCTTTAGTTTGCCGTTCTTTTTATGTGCTTTGTATTGTTTTGGGGTGCATCGGGGCGATGCACTTTTTAAGGGGGGAGTAATGCCGCGCGCCAAGTAGGTAGCGCGGCCATAGCCTAATGGTTATCGCGTTTGCCTCCCACGCGAAGGGCCAGGGTTCGATTCCTGGCCGCGACTATGCATTTTTGTTAACACTGTATTGTGATGTTCTGGTGAAATCGAGAACCGTCTAGCTGATTCAAGGTCAGAATGTTCTACGCATCGAACCTTCTACGTCGAATGCTCCAGAAGCCAACGTGTGTACAAAAGCGGCTCCGCGGGCAAGCCAGAGCCAGTTTCGCCCAAGCGTTCGACTCTGCTGTTACGCCGACTTCGACGCCCGCGACGCTCTCTTATTATCTTTTGCACCCTTTTATTTTTGGCACAGGTTCGCCACATTAAACGTTTATTTCTTTCTTTTTATTTATTGTTTTTTAGTCACCACCCGTGACAATATATTCCGTTGTTCATGCACCAGTCCCGACAGCCATTTTGTCATATTTTTGATTAAATTTTGTTTCTCAAAACTGAACCGGGATGCCGCCTTAAAACAATTAACTTCCTAAGTAGATGTTTCAGGACCGCCCGAAGTGCTTGACGTAGACATTGCATTTACTGCAGCGGCTAGCTGGTACTGAAGTATTTACCCGAGGTAAAAATTACTCCCGTCTGTGATCGCCTTTGGCTTCCACTGTTCCCTTATGCAAGTTGTGTTATTCATGTCGTAAAATGCTAACGTGCTGTTTGCATGAAAGCTCATGTTTAGCAACGCCGTGTGTAGGCACTGAGCATGCGCAGCTGCCATATCGGCGTAAGATGAAGAGCGCAGGCGGCAGGCCCAGAGCAGCGCTACCTGTTGGTGTATTGATAAGGTTCAGAGGCTGTGAACATCTTGTGGATGCATTTCGATAATCTATGATAATTTTCTGAAGTGTTTCCTTTTTACATGAAGGAGGGAAATTGGAAGCTCACATGCCTCCAATTGTATCGCTGATAACGAAGTCACAATGTTATTGCACCGCCCGATATCAATTGCAGACGGTATAAATCGGCTCGAGAGAGTACCGCAGCTTCACTGTTCGACGCCAGAGCCATTCCGAGATGAGTATCGTGAAGACAGCGCTCCTTGTCGTCCTCGGCGTCGTTTGTGTCTCCTCGGACTTTCCCGGGGTCTGGAGGAGGCACCACCCGGACGTGGACCACCGCTACAAAGAGTGGGCACACTTGGCCATCTCCTCTCAAGTCGAGGACAGGACCAACTTCGACACCCTCATGACGCTCATCAGCGTCGAGTCTCAGGTAACGCGTCCTCAAGATGTTGCAGTTTGGAGACCTCATCTAAAGAGGGATATGCGGCTTCCAAGCGAACTTCTATTGTACTCGTTACTTGTAATGAAATTACGCGTAACTAGGGCTGGACAATTCATCGGTCAACCTACCGAACAATCGATTAAGGGTTTAATCGAGCCTAATAGTTTAACCGGTTAATCGGTAAAATTTGGAAGAAGCGAAAGAGAGTAAAATTTAAACGCATTCACCACGCAGACGTGGACGAGTACTCCTGTATGAAGGACACCATTAGGAAAACTTTTAACCTAAAGTAAACTGTAAGGGGTAGATTAGTAGCTTCAGACAAGTTTAGAAGGTTACGCGTGTCCCTGCCAATTTATTGCCGCTCGAGGGTCCATTCAGGGTAGCGGAGATTATATTGACAATAGAAGTAGCTCTTGCCTCATGGAGCTGAAGTAATCATCTGTGAGTGTGAGTGTCTTTCAACTATTCTAAAGTACACCTCAAGGTTTATTTATAAACGATATTTTCTATTGCACACTTGATCAAACATTCAACAAAAGTAAAAAAAAAAAAACATTAACTTTTAGAATTATTTTGGAAATATACGAGAGCAATGTATCTATACTTTATCGATTAAAGCGTGGCGATTTGTGGGTTAAAATTTTTCACCGACGCCTAGCCCTACTTGTAACCGAATACGTTTTGGAGTAATTTTATACTCACATAAATATATTTATTAGGACTCAATACGCACTTTCAAAGGTGATTACTTTTTTAAGCAGCTCTAATGGTAACTATTTTCCGTTCTCTTTGTAATGGCACGCATTGAATTGTACTGGTTTAAAGCAAGGCATCCTCGACCCAAACCTCCAACTGAAGGACATTGGTTCACCAACTTGTGGATTAAGAACTTAAATATTCTATAGTTCTGTTATTCTAATCAATAAGGAGTAGTATGAAAAACACGTTTTCAAACCGGCCAAACGATTGGTTTAATAAACTCTGGGAATCGGTGCAATAAAGATTACTTTTTCAGATAACAGAAAATTATTTTTTCGCTGATTGATCTAAGTGATCTAACTGACTACCTTTTAACACAAAGTAAGTGAAATTGTAATCGGTTACCTTTTAGAGTATTGTGTACAAGACGACTAGTCCGAAGTCACCCCATTGCGAGGATTCTGCTGTGGACCCGGCGATGTGCATTCGTTTTCCCCCACGCCATTCTGGTTTACTCGATGTGGAGTGCACACAGGTAGTGTGGCGAAACGCGGATTTGTTTCCAAGCAGCGTGATGGCATATTAAAGTATTAATAACACGCCTTGCTACAATAAAAATTCGAAGGCACAGGTGATCCGAGGACCAGTGTAATTTCTAAGCGGGGTACACATTTTTGTACCCACAAGCCATAACAGCAAATGCCTTCACTGAGCATCACGCATCTTACAAAACATTCGCCGTGGCGAGTGAATCTTTTGAGGCGTCAAAACGGCCAACTAGGAAAGCTAAGTTGCAAAAAAGAAATATGTTATAACATGATTGTTGAGGTTGACGCATGAACAACGGAATAAGTATTGAGAATTAAATAAAACTTATTTTCACTCATTGTAGTCATCGTCGCTTCTCAAGCTCTGGTTTACTGCAGTCTAACGTTGATTTATTCTATTTGCTTTCTATCTAAAAAAGATGAACGGCTTTAATTTTGTTTAGATTCTTAAACATTCTTTTAGGAAGAAGAGATTTCAATGGGAGATAATCAGCACCTGAGTTTCAAGATACACATATCCGCTGCAGCGTAGAGGTATATATGAAATTAAATTGAAAGCTCTCATCATCCTTCCCGTGTAAGCGAGCTCATTTGGAGTTTTTAAACTTCCTCGAGCTCATAAGCTATGAAATTTCATGATCTTGTTGTCATATATTTGCAGGTAATTGCGGGTGTGGACTACAAACTCAAGATGAAGGTCGCTGAATCCGACTGCGTGATTGGAGTGGACTTGTACAGCAGGGAACGTTGCCACCTCAAGGTCGATGTTGTGAGTATTCGGCTCTTACTCTCTTAAAGCTTTTCTTTTGGCTTGCCATAAACTATTCATTACACGTCATTTATGTATTATAGTTGCCAGGAATTTAATCCTGCAATTATATATTTTAGTAAAAAATATTTGGAACCATACAACGCTCTCGCAATGCGCTTCTCACTCAGTGCCATCGCACTTTCTGTATCTTTACTTATTACTAGAATAATTAAAATATCTGTAATTACTTATTTTTGGAGCACTTGTTTATTCAGTTGAGTATATTTACGGGAACACAACTTCACTAAGTATCAGATTAGTTTAGGAAGTACAAAAGTTACTTGTATCCGTTAATATTTCTTCTTCCCTAGCTAATGGCGATCATTGTTTGTGCACGTTTTCTACAAAAAAATCCTCGAACGAAATCTCCGAGGATGTTTGTCTAAAATTAGTACATTATGAAGACATGTAATCTACAGTTCGGTGATTCTATTTCAATATTAGATCAAAAAAGATAGGTTTCAAACCGGTAGAAATATCTGTCGTTTTGAAAATCTCATGTAGTCGGAAAAGTGAAATTGAATATTTTTTAACCAAGTATCGTTGTAGATCTAAACGACTATTTTTGTCGAAAAACTCGTAAAAGACTGCATGCAGTATGGCTGCAAAGCGAACCGGACATAAGGAGGTTTTAGTAGATTGTTACGATAAATCCGACAGCGAGACTCGATACATATACGATTTACTTGCAAAGCAGCCGAAGAGATATCGGATATCGTTAACGGGTTACAGGAACGATATACTAACCCATTTAAAAGCCTTCTGCAATCAGATGCCTTCCCCCCCATTAGTAAAGGTAAAGTGTCATAATATGTGTCCCGGCTCTTAGTGCTTTCCTTTGAAGTTTTGGTGTCTGTTTCTACTTTGCAGCCTTACATGATCTGTACAGCAGTGGTCAACTATAGGCCCTGGGAGCACAAAGCCAGCCTCAAGTCATACAACTGCAGCGATCGTGTCTACGGGGGGAAGTCAGCTGAATGATCTGCGTGAACCAATGCAAAGCGCAATTTCTTCCTCGTGCACGCGTTGATTTGTCATCTCTATATCCGTGACACAGAGGAAAGTCAATAAAATGTCATTTCTGACGAGGAAAAAGTATAAACGTTTAACGCTGTTTTTATTCAGCAAGCTTTCGGTTTCTTCCGTAAATTACAACGACCTATATTTTCACACGGTTTGGTTGAATTGCTTGCAAGCGGCGCTCAGAGGTCTTTGTACTTCCATACTCCTGGAGGTCCTCCTGATATGCTGTAATAGGAACTCCATGGAGTGGAGTAAACCTTGTGATGTAGGGCGGAAGGCTGCGCCAATTGGTAGTGATTTATGAAGAAATAAAAACAAAACGCACAGAAACGAGTGCAGAAACGAGTACTGGTACTACAAACAATCGCTTACTTACAACTGAAATTTTAATAGGACTTCAAAAAAAAAAAAAAACAGATAATAGTACCTTCGCCGGTTGCACATGCGCTGTTAATAGCACCCCCACCTTTCAATCTAAGCTTATGATCTAAACATATAAAAGACACAATGTGCGCTTGGCACTGTTGCCGATAAGAATGCTTCTTTAGCATCTGTCAAAGCAAGTGTGAGGTGGCGTATGTAGCCATCACCCTTTGTATGTATATTGAAAGGCTACAAGACCTCCCGCGCTGCTTGCTCTTTAAATCGTCCTAAAACATTTGCATTTTCAAAAACGGGCACGCCCACACCTCCTGCAGTGGACTGCTAAATGTCCCTACTTAATTGTACGAAGAGAATTGGAGTGCTTCCTAAGTCTGTCATTAATGCAGCATGCCGTTTGGCCCACATAGCCCTTACGACTGGACAGCGGGACGTAATATAAAACTAATACGGCTGTGGACAAAGCGATTTACATGTTTCTTCCCTCATGAATGTTCCCTCAAGATCTTCCACACACGGGAGGTCTTGGAGGTATTCAATATAAAAGCTTTGGCTGAAGTCTGCATGAGCCACTGTTCTTTGACAGATGATGAGGGAGCATTCAAGAACAGTGATTTCCTTACACACCCCTCAAAATTTAGGCACCCGCCCTAATTTGAATTCTTGGGGAAACCCCTGTTCAGGAAGCATTCAACCAGGAAGCGCGCTTTTACTGAAAGGGGTTAAAAGAGAAAAAGGGAAAGGGCTACCCTCGCTTTCCTCCTTCCTGGTTTGTTTGGAACGAGCAGAAGACCCGGATGAACGCCTTGGACGTGTTGCTCAAAGTTTGCTTGTTTTCTTAGTAGTTTCTTCCAATTCTTTACTTCTAGGTTGAATTAGAGTTAGCGCATTTAGTACCGGCAATCACCCAGCGACGGATATACCATTGTCTGGTAATAAACTGCACGAATAAATAACGAAAGCGCGAAATATTATTGGAGGGCATCTGTCTCGCTCACGGGACCCGGTACTGCAACAGCGGCTGTAATGCCATCAAACTTATTCTACTTTCATATGACCAAGACCTCCGGTGTCAGTTGGTTGCGTCCGTAAATCGAAAATGCTTTTCTCCAATGCCGTCTTTTCGAGTCTCCTTCGAACCTTTTGTGAATGAAGCGCGCACCGAAGTTTACGGTGTACCGTCGATGAACATGAGGTTAGCTCGCAATGTTCGTGAACGTTTCATTGTGAGAATGCTGTTTCAGCTTGTAAATTTTTGTAACTTTATCTATCCCAATGTTGATTTTTTACAGTAGTGACATGCACTCGATTTTATTTTCTACAACGCTTAATTGAAAACTCACTTCCGCTGCCTGGTATGGCTGGAAATAGTCGAGAATTTAGTTCAATCTGTTTTCCTGAATCGGGTCATCCTGCGCGATATGAGAGCCGCGAACTTAAGTTAACTGTCACAACATGACAGGATTTTTGTAATGCGATGATAGCATTATCTATCCCAGGGAGCGTAGCAAGCAACGTCTGTAACCGAAAAAAAAAAAATAAAGAAAGCGAAAGAAATGCCCATTCTTCTATTGGCTAAGGAAAACGGTTCCTAGATAGCCTTTGGCGGCCGCTACACGAGAGCGTGGTCTCGGCCGCCGTTCTCGTGTCAGGCGTTGTCAAATAGGTTGGGGCGGGGGGAGGGGGCTGCGGCCGCTTCGAGAGATGCGCGCTCGGCCGCCACTGTCGTGTCAGGCGTTGCCGGAGGGTGACGAGGGCTGTCCCTTTATAAAAGAAATATCAGACAGTTTCTAAGCTATTAATTGTGTTTCTTTTTTGCTGAGGCGACTTTTGCAGTGACCGCTGTTTTATAAATCTAGTATAGTGGGCGGGTATAGTAGGGATTTTACGATAGTAAGATGCGTTGCAATACGGAGGGGGGGGGGTAATAAGTTTTTTTCTTTCTAGGCTGTAATATTTTTATTCAGTGATTAAATTGAAAGATGTTACATTCAAAATAGAGATTGAAATCTCCTCTTTTCCAGGAGCAGAAGACATTTCAAAATAGCCGACACCAACAGCGATGTACTTCCGATTCCAGTGAACCAGTCTCTGCATGTCCTTGTAGAAGAATGAAGGCGGCTGTTGAAGACACAAACTGCGCGCTGCATCGGTAACCTCGTCGTCGGACAAAAACAGTGCACCCTTCAGATGTTCCTTCATCTTTTAAAGCAGCAAAACAGCCGTGCACATACACGCCAACTAAAATCATCAGGGAAAGACACAGCGTCTGACAGACAGAACGACGGCATATGTCACAATGACCTTACATTGGTGAGTATGGCCGTCTTGTCTCCTTCTGTTTTATGAAAGCACTGAGTTTAGGACCTAATATTAAAAAAAAAAAGTCTAAGAGGCGTCTTGCAAACTGTGTTCAAGTTCGGATGTCATATTCGTCGCTGAAGACTTTATTTTGTTGTTCTGTACTTCTGTTGCGGCAAAGAGACTGCTCATATTCTTTCTGGAGCACACTGCACAGGCAATGGCCCCAGTGGCGAGATGTGAAGGAAGCTGGCAGAAATAATTTCGGCTAGAACCTTTCGAGAGAAGAGATGAAAAAAAATGGTTGGAACCGAGGAAGCACAGGACTACGCTTATTCAGTTGCCACGGAGAACTGACTAAAACTATGTGACCAACTGAACGGCCAGCTCCACACGCCGCGAGTATGGCAAATCCTGCGCTTGCTACTAGGTCACTCCAAAACAAGACACACTATGACGAAATTACAAATGCACACCAAGACAAAGAACGATCTCGCCAACGACATTCAGCAACTATTCTACCCACAAAAAACCAACCCCCCCACTTTCCTCTCCCTCCCCCCCCCCCCCCCCCCCCCCCCCCCCCCCGAAACACTCGAGGACCAAGCCAGAGGGATCAACTCACCCTTCACCAAGAGCAAACTAGTATCGGCTCTCCGTAGGCTAAAAAGGAACACCACCCCCGGCATGTACAAGATCACTTACGCGATGCTCCGAAACCCTCCGGAGACTTACTTGGACTCACTCCTTCAGTATATTACCAAGGCATGGGATACGGGCATTCTTCCACAGGAATGGAAAGAGGCGCTCGTGATCTCCATACCCGAACCAGGAAAAACACCTTATAACATCAGTAACCTCCGACCTATCTCCATTACATCGTGCACAGGTAAGCTGACAGAGAAGATGACCCTACATACACTAGAATGGCATCTGGACAACACCGACGCACTACGCTACACTATGACTGGCTTCCACAAGCACGTGTGCACACAGGACACAATGATGCGCATACACGAAGATATATACAAAAACCCCAGCACATCGCAACTACGCACGATTGCAGGGATAGACTTACACAAAGCATTTAATAACGTCACACACGGCGCCATTCCAAATAACCTCATTGACACGAGGCCTGGGTCAAAGATGTGCAACTACATCTCAGCGTTCCTGAAGAAACCGCACAATACAGATACAAGTAGATGACTATACTTCACCAAAATACACACTCACCGCGGGTGTGCCGCAAGGAGCCATCCTCTCTCCCATTCCTTTTAATTTGGCCCTAAACAACCTCCCACAGGCTCTCGCAACCATCCTCGACCTACACCACTATCTATACGCGGACGACATAACCATTTGGAGAAACACAGGCTCACTGGCGGAACAGGAACAAACCATACAGGCAGGCCTCAATACCAGGCCTCACCTGCTCACCCGACAAGGCCGAATATGTCGTTATTACCAATGGCACAAGCCAGAAAGCTGAGAGATATAGAGACCTCATACACTTCAACATAGATGGCAAACCCATTCCACGAAAGCACACTATTAAAGTTCTCGTCTTCAATCCCCAACAGAATGGGAAAGCCGATGTGTGGATAGGACACATCATACGCCAAATTAACCAGATAGACAACATGCTTAGGCGCGTTACGAGACGCAGTCCAGGCCTCAAGTAGCATGAGTTCCACAAGAGACGAGGCGCTCGTCTACACACGAGTCATGTATCACCTCCCATATGTTACACAAACTCGAACCCAAACAAAAAAGCTAGAAACCGCACTCCGGAAATGCACGCGACTGGCTCTAGGAGACCCTCGATTTGCGCCTGTGCATCTAATCACAGGCACTGGCCTTTTTAACTCACTGGATGATCGCATCTCTATACAGGAACATGCACAGCACCAGCGATTAATGACATCACAACGCGGGCGCCAGATCCTCGGCCATCAACAATACGACACATCCAAACTTCCGCCCCTCCCACCCCCGGCCCCACCCTGGGACTCGCCCCCACGCATAACTGTGCTCCCCATTTCACAGAACATGTCTCCTGACGACCGCCTACCCCGCCGCGAGCCACACAGCTATCAGGAGCAGAACGGCAGTGATTGAACCCCGATCATCTTCATCCCGTGAACACGAAGGGGTCCCCTTCTCGACGGCTGCAGAAATACTCGCAATCGCCGAAACCATCACAGAACATACCCACTCAACCGATACAATTCTTATCCGCACAGACAACCAGGGAGCGTGCCGCTGCTTTCGAGACAACGACTTACCTTCCCACATACACTCCATACTACAACGACACCTTCACGCACACCCGTACATACACATCAATATAGAATGGATACCGAGTCATCAGGGACTGGGAGGAAATCTAC